ACAATCAGAAAGGACAAACAATGTTATTATGTACTACCTAAGCAAATAATCTAACATGAAGTGACAACATTGTAAATATAGATGCAGTGAATACTCCATCATCTACCTTCATAAAAGAAACATTGTTGGACATAAAAGACCAAATAAACACTATCCCAATGATAGTGGATGACCTGATTATTCCACTTTTGCAAAGAAACATATCAACTATACAACAAAATAAACATTATTAGAACCCAATTACAGCCTTATGTTCATATGGACCTAATAGGTATCTACAGTGTGTCTTACAAAAGAGTATGCATGTACATACAAAAGAGTATGTATGTACTCCTAGTACAAAAGAGCATTCATTCTTCTCTGTAGCACACAAAATTTTCTACAAAATAGACCACATAATAGTTTGAGCTATCTGAAAATATGGGTTAATAAAAGTAAGGAAGACAGATGTATATTCTGGGTACTAGGACCCATGCTAAGACTATCATTATAAGACATAATAAAATATGGTGTCAGAAAATAATCTAAGAGAAAGCAAGTATAAACATACTAGCCACAATTGTAAATCTATGCCTACTTTCACCTCTACTCCATCTAGCCCAGAGACTACTATTAAACAATCCCACACTTAAGCTCTGTTTTATATCCACAACTATATTTTTAGATCAGCTCCAGTATAAAATTTCATATTCTTTGGGAACCATATGCATGAAATTCTTACCATTTCCATGTACAGCTTCCCTCTTTATATTTCAAAATTTTACCAAGAAACCTATACTTTTACTAAGTAGCATTTACTAAGCCTGGGTCAGAGAAAGACAATATTCATGTGCTAGACTTTACCTTGTGGCTCTCACTACTTAAATACACATCTTTAGTAATTCACTCAGTATTATCTAAGGCTATATTAAATCTGTATGAATAGAGCTCTAACGGATATAACAGCAAGTGTGTTTAGGGGTGTTAAATAGCTGACTATATTAATGTTTTTGGATCACTGAACACAGCTGTTTGCAGTCTCTCTGTTTGAATGTCTACTTTGTATTCTTTGATACTGTGATTTGAGCAACTATTTCCAAGATGATAATATGTAATCTATTAACAGGTGATTTCTTACTGTTATGTTTTTTTTTTGTAGTTCTGTATTATGTGTAACCTTACACTGCTTTGTTTTGTTTTGTGTTTTTCTCTTTTTCCTCTTAAATAAAAAAAAATCTGTATAAATAAGTTCCCTTGTGCCTTAAAACAAACAAATAACTATTCGGAACTTAACAACAAGACCTACTAGTGCTTCGTTAGTGACTTCACCAAACCTTGGTTAACAGAAAGACTTGTAACTACTTTTAAGATATTTATCTGGTCTTAACTCAAAAAGCATTTCATTAGCATTTTACCATCTTATCAAGAATGGCAACATTACATATTTTGAAGTTGCTCTGTTATTTTTATTGTTGATGTTTCGAGGACTGAACTCTAGGTCTCTGTACTGAGATACCCTCATTCTTTTTTTTTTAAACAGGGCCTTGCTAAGTCACTAAGTTGCCCTAGGCTGGGTTCAAACTTGCAAACTTCCTCCCTCGGCCTTGCATAGTACTGGAAATATAAGCATATTGAGACCACACCTGGCTGAGGTTGCTCTGCTTTAATAAATGCTTATTTAACCAAAAATACTATGTTTTTGAGGACATATTTTATAGTTGAATTCAGACATATTACAAATTTAATTTGTTCAGTTTTTCTACAGGCTCACAAATCTTTTTTATGTTCCATTCCAAAAGACTATTAGTGACTGAAATCAAGCATTAAAATGCCACATATTTTATAATCTTGGTTTACTAAAATTTTGATTTTTCTCATTTCTCATGCACTGCAACACTAAGAGAAACTTAAAAATCAGATAAGGATGTTATGATACAGTGAAACATAAATACTGAGTTCTAATCTTGGATTTGTCACCAAAGTAACAAGAAATCTTGATAAAGTTCCTTTACCTTATTGGATATCCCTGTAAAAGAATAGTGATGGGGCTCCAGGTTCCTGTTAGAATGTTTACTTAAAGTGGTCACATAAATTGCCTGGACACGTGTGTTACTGCCCAATTTATCAGTTGTTTACTCGTTACTTCAATGTATTTGGAAGGGAACTGTCTCTGTGTTAGACATTTTCTGCAGTTGTGGTCTCTTGTTTTGTGTTTCACAGTACATCTAATTTAGCCTGTCTGTGGGGTAAAAAAAATGACTACCTGTATCTTCACAGATGCTTTCACTCGTCCTTGTCATTCACTATCTGAATGATAACTCACCCCTGATAACTGAGGTCCTAATACCTTGAACAGACCCAGGGCCACACAGATCAAGTTTCAAGGATTGACTTGATGTTTTATTTAGCTTACTTTTAGACTGTTGGAAAATTGAACAAGTAGAAAGTCTATAGACTGGTTTCCATCTTGTTTACCTTAACTTTGTATTGATTCTGTTATGGTCTAGTTCTAAGCTTATAATGTATTCATTACATGTTTTAAAGAAATTTAGGTAAACTGAAATTAACAGTTTATTTGAGTAAAGAATGATTCATGAATTGGAAAGTGCTCAGCATCAGAAGAGGTTCAAAGATTTCATTCCAAAGGATAAGCTCATAGGCAGAACATGGAAGAAAATTATTCACTTGCCTAGCTATAAATCAGTATTTCCTTCAGGCGTACATGTTTGCTTTATTTGAACATGGTGTGACCAGCTGCCTGTCTATGATCGTCTGAAACTCAGTTGTTTGTCACAAAATTTTTGTAGTCAGGGTTTACAAGGGAATAGATTTAATACAGGGCACATAATTTATAGAGTTATTTTATAATATTCACTCAAAAAGCCAAAGTCAGAAGAGCATAAGAAGTCTATTCATGCACTAGAGACCCAAAAAACTCCACTGAGGGGATGGATCCCACAGCAATGTTCTGCATGAGTCCAGCTGGAGGCTTAGAGCCCATAACAATGTCTCATGCAAATGTCTATCAAGAATCTACATGGGAAAGGCTCAAAAGTATGGGGGGAGCCAGACAGTCTGCACCAGGGGACTAAAGGATCTAAGACAGCAGACAGAGAGATCTGCACTGGAGCCAGAAAGCAATGCTCAGTATATGGACCCGAGCTCCTCTGAAGAGAACTGCAGACTTGCTTAGCAACAGCAGGACCTGAGCTCCAATGATAACAGCTGAGTTCTTATCAGGAAAACCAGTGTGACAAGCTTCTCCTAGAAAATCAACAGCACATCATCTTCCCCTCAATTTCTCCTTTTATGTTGCTGGCAACAATCCTCAGTTGGTCCTTCCATGCCAAGAACCACACGGATTCAGTTCAGCTTTGTGTTAGGATTTAAACACAGGTGCATGCCATCAATCTTAATGTAAATAACTTATATAAGAAAGTTCAGTACATGCTGACATAAGTAACATATAATCAGGGTCATTAGTGGCACATAATCACTATTAAGTAGGACCCTATATAAAACTGGAGTGCCATGAAGGCTAGAAGTCAGGCTAGAGTCTTGAGTACTGCTTTGATTGTACAGTGGTTGGAGGCCACAGGAATAGCTAAACAGATAGACTACGGCTAAGCAGCTACATAAAGATATCTAATCCATTCTATGGCTCTGTGTCTCCTTTGGGCTGCCTGAATCTCAAGTTAACTCCTCAGTCTGAACTAACAACAAAACAGTTGGCACAACTGGCCTGATTCATCACAGGCTGCGCCAAGTCAAAATTTTCCTTAACAGGAGGTACCCACAGCAAAGGGTTAAAATAACAGACCAGCCTGAAGCAGAACACTGAAAGGAAAGGTATATGCTGCTTGTAAATTGTGTCTAGAAAAAAATGCATGCTGCCAAAATAACAGAGCTCATCGACTCAGACAGGTTGGGAGCTGACGAAATTAAGCTGCTTCCTTACAAAAAGTACCATTCAGCAATAGTACAGAAATTGAAGCAGTGAACCACAGTCTAGCAAGACCATAAAGGTAAAGAAGTGCAGCATTAGGGCTAGGATGGGGGCAGAGCCCACTCCTGAGACCTTGAGCCTGAGGGTGGCATCCATGTTGGAGTCACAAGAAAAATTGAAATTTGAGTCCACACCAGAGCTGAAGGCAGACCCAGGGCCCAGGCTGGGGCCACTAGAAGAAAAGCAGCAGGCAACAGATCCTGCCCAAATGACTGATTTATGGCTGCTGAAGCCAAAGATAGACTGGTTTAAGGCAACAGCACAGAGAGACTAAAAAGACTTCATTCAGCCAGAAGTTGAGTTATCAAATACCCACAAATGTAAAACATGTGCTCAAGTTAGTGGACATAAGAAAGACTGTATCCTGATTTGTGGTAGTTGTGATAAATTCTCAGGTAAGACAGCCTATATAGATTAATATGTGGGACACACCGTTAAAGTGAAATCAATGACTGACACTAGGTACAGGCTGTTGGATGCTTCAAGATACCTTGCACATCTCCCTGGTACCTGAATACACCTTGGGGATGGACTTTCTCAAGGAGCTGAGAATCAAAAACAGTTTTCCCTCATATGAGAAGAAAGCTAATAGATATTCAATATATTGCCATATGGCAAGACCTATAAGAGGTAGGCCACACAGAAGAGCATAAGAAGTAAAATAGACAGGAAAGGGCATGGCCAGTGATAGGCTTATTGCCTTTGCAGATTCTGAACTGCACTAAAGTCCACAAGAAAAAAAAGGCGTTTTCCCAGGACAGAGAGCCACTTTCTGTTTTCCACAAAGGCACTGTCCAATGTAGGGAAGTTGAAAAAAAAAAAAAGCTCTTGTGTTGGGCCCCGGAAAAAAACTAGAGAAATTTGAAAAGAGCACGAGCTAATTTGGTTCCAATTGTTGTACCAGTTGAGTGTATGTGTCTGCCTGGGCACCAAAGTGACTATATGCAAGGACATACAGTAGAAAGAGACTTTACTGTGGCCTATAATAAGTTCTCCTAGTTTTGCCACTAGGACAATGGGGGCAAAGATCACTCCTGTGGACCTGCATACCCTCTGTGAAATCACACCCCAACACCTGAAGGGTGTGGATTGTAAAGAAAAACAAAGCCTGGTAAGGCCACCAGCACTGCACTCCAGAGATGTGTCCTTGCTAGCTGCACAGAGGATGTGAACTCTGCTCAGCACAGCAACCCAGTGCAATCCATCAGGGGAAAGCCTGGCCAGTCTCACTGGTCACAGAGGTACCAAGCCCAGCCCAGTCCAGAGCCCCAGAGCAACCCATCAGGGAGCTACAACAGTCTTGGAAAATTTGAGCACTGCTCATAATAGCACAAGGCCCAAGCCCAATAGTTCAGCAGTGCAGACCATCTAGTCGTGTAGCAGGTCCTGGAGGTTCTGAATCTACCCAACCAGGAGCAAGGCCCCGGCACCCTATGGGATGCACTCTGACTAGCTGCATGCTCTAGACATGTTGAACTCCTCTCAACCAAAGGCAAGGTCCAAGTGGTTCCACACTCATGGTGATGCTCTGCCTAGCTGCCTAGGTCTTGGAGGTTTTGAACTCCACCTAGCCAAGCAATAGGCCCTGGTGACACACTTGGGGTGTGTCCCTACTAGCCTTCTGTGTCCCAGAAATTCTCACCTCTACTCAAACTGGTTCTAGTTACCAGAAACACACTCCTGGAGTCTGCCCCTGCTAGCAGCAAGAAGATCCAACCTCTTCCCAGCCCAGTATCTGAGAACAATGCAATGTAGTATATCAGGGGAACACCTGGCCAGCCTCACAGGCCACAGAGCACAAGGATCCAGTGCCTTAAGTTTGGGGTTCACCCAGTTAGCTACAGGGATGTCAAGAGGATTGAAACTCTGCTGCTCCATGGCAAGCCATCACCAGGAAGGTACCTGACCAGCCACATAGGTCCCAGAGGAAAATGAAAAAACGAAAGAGCAAGAAGCAATCTTAGCCATCCTGCCCAATGAGAGTAAACCCAAGAGACAGTAAAATGGAAGACACTGGAAATTGCATCACTGAACTTTCTGAAATGATAGCAAATGAAGTAAAGAAACAACTTCATGAAATTATAGAAGAAATCAAGTCAGAAATAATCTCTCAGGTAAAGAATGAAATGACAAACATTATGAAAGAAATGCTGTCTGAATCTAAAGAAGACCTAAATAAAAAGTAGAAGACCATAAGAAAATTATGGAAACCTTGAATGAGCAATATAAAACAGAATTAGAATACATCAAACAGATTCAAAGGGATATTCAAGAAATTAAAAATTGGGGCTGGGGATTTAGCTCAGCGGCATAAGCGCCTGCCTCGAAAGCAGGCAGTCGTGAGTTCGATCCCTTGTACCAGTAAAAATAAAAAAGCCAAAAAAAAAAAAAAAAAAGAAATTAAAAATTACATTGAACGCTAGAAAAACCACTTGAGTGAAGCTGAAGATAGACTCTCAGACCTTGAAAACAGGATTGAAGATTATGACCATGAAAGAAAAAATCTCTTAAAAATAACAAGGAACCAGGAAGAAACAATTCAACAGCTGCAAGATGATGCAAAGAAAAACAAAATAAGATTGGTATGTGTCAATAAAAAAGCAAGGCTCAACACAAATGACTAGTGGGGATTATTTGCAAAAATAATAACAAAATTTTACAAACATGGGAAGAGAATCTGATAAAAGATAAGTGAAGCATACAAAACCACAATTAACCATAACCAAAATAGATCTTTACCCAGACCTATAATAATTAAGATATCAGAAATTCAGCACAAGAACAGAATACAAAAGTTGTCAGAGAAAAGAAACATCACCTATGAAGGAAAGCCCATCAGAATCATGGCAGACTTCTCAATGCAAACTTTCAAGTCAAGAAGAGCTTGAAGTGAAGTATTTGAGGTCCTGAAAGACAATTTACAACCTAGATTGACGTATCCTGCAAAACTATCTTTGAAAATAGATGGAGAAATAAGAAACTTCCATGGCAAAAAACAACTGAAGAAATTCATGGTCACCAAACCAACAGTACAAAGAGTACCAAAAGATACTCTAGAAAAAGTCAAAGTTAACTACAATCCCAAAAAAACAATAAAAGGAAATCACTAAGCAGGGCCAGCTTTTAAACAGAAAAAGTAGAAAATGAACAAAATAAGTTAACATGACAGTGATAAGTAAGTACTTATCACTTATATCCATTAATGTTAATGGTCTCAACTCACCAATAAAAAAGTGACTGGCAGAGTGGATTAAGAAACAAAATTCAACAATATGCTGTGTACAAGAAACACATTTACCTCAAAAGAAAATTCATAGACTAAAAGATGAAGGATAGAAAGCAATACTCCATGTGACAGGAACCTAGAAAAACCAGGGGTAGCTATTTTGTTGTAGACAACATGCACTTTAAACCAAGAATAATCAAAAGAAATGAAGGTCACTACATACTTGTTAGGGGAAAAATTGAGAAGGAAGAGATTATAATCATAATTACATATGCATCAAATATGAGAGTACTCAACAATATAAGACAAATTTTAATAGACATGAAAAACCATAATTCTTATTACTTTTTTTGGGTGTTAAATGGCTGACTATATTAATGTTTTTGGTTGGATCACTGAACACAGCTTTTTGCAGTCTCACTGTTTGAATGTCCACTTTGTATTCTTTGATACTGTGATTTGAGCAACTATTTCTAAAATGATAATATGTAATCTATTAACTGGTGATTTATTACTGTTTTTTTTTTTTGTAGTTCTGTATTACGTGTACCCTTACACCGCTTTGTTTTGTTTTGTGTTTTTCTCTTTTTCCTTTTAAATAAAATTTAAAAAAAAAGAAAAACCAAATAAACAATAATACAGTTATAGTAGGGACCTTCATGCCCCATTGTCACAAACAGACAGATTAATTAAACAAAAAATCAGCAAAGAAATAACAGAAGTAACTCAAACTTGTGAACAAATGGACCTAGTAGATGTGTACATAGTGTTCCAAGCACTTCAGAATACACATTTTACTCAGCTTCACACAAGTCATTCTCTAAGATAGATCATACACTAACAGATCATGCTTAAGTAGATGCCATAGAAATGAAATAATTCCATGCATATTATCTGATCACAGCACAATAAAATTGGAAATTAACAACCAAAAACCCCACAAGAACCTCATAAACAATTGGAAATTATTTTTTTATCTGTACCAGGGATCAAAACAATTGGAAATTAAATAACACTCACTTAAACAATCAGTAGGTCACAGAAATTGAAGAAGAAATTTAAAAATATGTACAGTGGGATGAAAATGCACATACAAATTACCAAAAGCCATGGGACACAGTGAAAGCACCTCAGAGGGAAATTTATAGCACTAAACTCCCACATTAGGAAAATGTAAAGAACATACATAAATAACTTAATGCTGCACCTCAAACTTATAGGAAAAGAAAAACAAGTTAAGGCCAAATCCCAAAGAAGGCAGAAAATTATAAAAACTCAGAGCAGAATCAATGCAATTGAAACTAAGAAAACAATGCAAAGAGTTAATGAATCAAAGAGTTGGTTCTTTGAAAGAATAAATAAAATTGATGAACCTCTAGTCAACCTTTTAAAAAAGAGGAAAGAAAAAGTGCAAATCCATGCAACAAGAAATGTAAAGGGTGAAATCACTACAGACCCTGACAAAAACCAGAAGATCATCAATGCCTACTTCAAATAACTTTACTCTCATAGGATTGATAACACAGAAGAAATGGAGAGCTTCCTCAAAACATATGAATTACCAAAGCTGAATCAAGAAGATATAAAACTGCTGAATAACTCAATTTCAATAATGAAATTGAACACATAATTCAAACCCCACCAACAAAGAAAACCCCAGGTCCTGAAATATTTACTGCAAAATTCTATAAGATATTCACAAAGAAGACTTAATGCCAACACCCTTCATACCTTTCAATGTAATTGAAAGGAAAGCAATTCTCTCTCACTCATTCCTGGAAGCAAGTATTATCTTACCACCAAACCCAGAAAAAGACAAAAAGAAAAAAGAAAATTACAGACCAATCACTCTAATGAACATAGATGCAAAAATCCTCAATAAAATACCAACCAATAGAATGCAACAAGTCACCAGGAAGATTATACATCATGATCAGGTGGGATTCATTCCAAGAATGCAGGGATGGTTCAACATACGGGATCAATAAGTGTAATACACCATATCAACAGAGCTGAGGAGAAGAGCTACATGTTCAGCTCAATAGATGCACAAAAAGTTTTCAACAAAATCTAACAGTCATTAATGATAAAAAATATCTACAGAAAATTGGAATAGATGGTCTCTACCTCAATCTAATAAAAGTCATATTTGATAAACCAACTTCCAGCATCTCACTAAATGGACAAAAACTGAAAACATTCAATCTAAAATCAGGAACAAGACAAGGATATACACTATCATCACTCCAGTTCAATATAGTTCTGGAAACATTAGCCAGAGAAATTTGACAAGAAAGAGAAATAAAAGGAAAAAGGATAGGAAAGGAAGCCATTAAATTATCATTATTTGCAGATGACAAGATACTCTACATAAATGACCCCCCATGCTCCATTAAAAGCATCTTAGACATAATATTCAGTAACGTAGCTCAATGCAAGGTCAACACTCAAAAATGAATAGCATTCCTGTACACAAACAACAAACTCACTAAGAGGGAGATAAGAGAAACCACACTCTTCACAATAGCATTCAGAAAAATGAAATAGAAATCAATCTGACAAAGGATGTAAAAGATCTATACAGTGAAAACTATATTGCACTGAAAAAGGAAATCGAAGACTATTTCAGAAAATGTAAAGATATTCCCTGTTTTTGAATAGGAACAGCAAAAATTCTGAAAATGGCCATTCTCCCAAAATTTTTATACATATTTAATGGCATTACAATCAATATATCATATGCGAATCACACAGATCTATAGAAATTGTTCCTAAAATTTATTTGGAACCAGAAGAGACCTACAATAGCAAAAGCAATTCTGGGTAACAAAGGCAAGGCAATACGTATCTCAATTCCTGATTTGAAATTTTAGTACAAAGTTACT